TACTTGAAATTAGTTTTACTTTTTCTTATAGAGGCAAAAATCTAGACTCGTCTAAGTACTGCAGTCTGACATTTAGGCTCATTGTTTAATTTTACTCTGCCTTCTTTGGCAGCGTATTTACATACCAGAAGCTTAACTCTTAATGCACTGGTTTTTGAAAAGCCCTTTGTATTTTACTTTATTTGTACCTTACTGGTTGTTCCTGAATGGTTAGTTAATCTCTGCTGCCATTCATGACAACTGAGTTTTATGAATTTACTCTTTCTTTCTACTAAATGTTAAAAAATGCTAAGAAAAGAAATCAACTGGATGTGGAATATGACCAGCAGCTAAAGCTCTTTGTCATCAAGTTGAATATAGATATCTTGGTGAAAGAGTGCAAACAATTTAATCCTTCTCATTGATGAAATCTAAAATAGTAGCAGTGTCATTGTCATCATCGTTACTATTATATATCTTAAAATATTTTATTTTTCATATTCTAAAAATTATGATGAATATTTATACATTCCCGCTCTATACTTGTGCCAAATGCCCATTAGGGATCTTCATGTGCTGAAAGTTTTCAAAACATTACAAAATATCAGAAGCCACTGATATTTTAGAAATTGGGATCTGGTCAGATCTGTGTTTCAGAAAGATAACTTGCTTGGTCCAAAATATTAACTCTATTATTGGGTTTTTATCACAGGATGCATTAAAAATTGGTAAGCATTTCTTTATCTTATTTTCACAGTAATATCAATTGACCTACACTTGGCAATCTGTATAATGAATATGTACTAGAGATTACAAATTTGGCAGAGAAGGAAATGAGGGGTAGAAAAGAAGTGAAGAAATACAGCATGTCAAACTCTGAATATGGGTGCCTCATTTCTTAATCTAAATTGTAATTAGATCTCATTTTAGTATGAGGACTTCATCATAGCTAGCAGCCCTCAAGTTCTCAAAGGAAGTAACTTTATGTGGAATACAAAAGTCCTTCCCCTAGAAGCAGTGATAGAGCATTTGAAAAATACATGAACTTTTATTAGAAGTTATTAATATGGCACCAGCTATGCAATCCATAGAACTACATGTTTTCTAAGTACCAAAAAGATAGTATCATTGCTAAATTGACTGCTAAATACTATATCTGCTGAAGTGTGAAATAATCTACTAAGATAGTGTAAGTCTTATTAGATAATGTAAGTGAATTCTGTCTTTAGATACTACAGGTAAAATCATATTTATTAAAAAATGACTTTGAAAGGAAGCTTATGACGTTGGGCATGTTATCCTCTTTGAATAAGATATGTGTACTTTTTCTAAAAGTTTAATTATATAATACAGTCACACTTGGAACTCAAAAAGCTTTTTGCCTTTTACAGCATTGTAGCTCATTGCCACTTAATACTATCAGTTGCTACTTCATTTTAATTCTCCTCATTAATGCCAGATTAGTTCATCAAGAGAGTGAAATATGATATTGATGGACTGACTAAAAACATACAGGTTTCATACAGTGCCTCACATTTTATAAGGTTTTGTTGTATTAACCTTTCAGGATGCATCGAGCCTTAAGAATTGATGAGAGTAATAACATTTCAAAGTCCTACACTTAGGGTTCAATTATTGGAGCACACTGTGACTGGGTTAATGTTTAACAATGGCTGTCCTGCAGATTCACTTAGGGAGCTGGGAGATAGCAATTTTATTCTTCTTTACTGGACTGGCCTTATTGCACAATTAATTAAGACCTGCTTAAAAATAGCATTCGTAATAGGGCTGGGGAAAGGAAATTCTTTAAAATGATGGGAACATAGTAGAGAATTTGTTATCAGTCCTGCAATAGCTACTTTCACCCAGGCTAGATTAATGAATATCAGAGTTGATGTTGCTTTCTGGGTAGAGCACTGCCACTAAGAAACAGCTCATTTTCTTCACTGTACTCTGGGTTTCCAAAGTGACGAAGTGCTATTAAAGAACTGGCCTTGTATAGTAAGTTCATATGCAGTTAGTTTTTCACATTTTTCTTTAATTATGATATGTACGTAGAGAAAGGGGTATAAAATATATGTGTACAATTTAAAGAATAATTATAAAGTGAACACTCAGGTAACCACCACCCAGATCAAGAAAAATGACCAGCATTCTGGAAGCCCTGCCTTGACCATGTGTTCCTCCCAGACGGTGACTCTCTCCTCTGGGTAGCTCCCGTCTTTACTTTTGTCATTTTCTTGCTTCTCTTTATAATGTAGTCACTTACATTTGCATCCCCAAACAATATAATTTAGGTTTGCCTGTTTTTGAAAGTATAGGAATAGAATCATAACGTTATATGCTGTTTTATGTCTGGTATCTTTCACTCAGCCTTATGTTTGTGAGATTTTATCCATGTTACTGCTACCCAGTGCACTTTTTAAAAAGCCTTTCCTATATTTGCCTCTCTCCTTTTTCTTCAGGACCCCTATAACTCTAAGTGCTTTTAGATATTTCTACTTTGCCTTCTTGGACTTTCTGCTAAATGAGGTCTGAAGACTAAAACTTGTCTGGACCCCAGTTTTCTGTGCTGACCCAACCACCCCCAGTTTGATGGCATTTGTTTAGATGAGACTACATCTTTAAGGCTTCTGTACTCAGTTAAAAATCTTCCTTTCTCCAAGGCTGGTCCAAGGGTCTGGTCACGTGATTCCAACAGTGACATCACATTCTGACCGCCGGGAACACTGGTGGTTCTTTAGGTGGCGTTTGTTGCTGTGAAAGGCAGAGAATGCAGCAAGTGCCCTTCCAGAGCACTTCAGAGTGGGGCTACTTCTGTAAAAGCTCCTCAACCTAAATGACCAAATGCGGGCTGCCAAGGTTATTTCTTCCTTAAGGCAGAGAAAAAGAAAACTGTGATTGAAGGTAAGCAGACTTGAGCCGGACCAAAGACTGTAGCATGCCCCCGGGAGCAGGGGATCTGGAGAATCGCAAGCAGTCAGTTGTAGGATTCTAATCACTGCCTGCTCTTTGAAAGTGGCATGGCAATTGCATTTCTAACAAGAGACCGACTACAAAGGAGGATGCTGCGGTGCTCATGTTACGTAGTGATGTAATAGGATTCTTTCTTTCCTGCTAGGAAGCTGTTGCAGATCTTCATTTTGCTTTAATATCCTCAAAGCTGGGGGCCTCGTTTGATATATAGTGTAAGATTAGATAGCTGTTGGATGCTTTTTAAATCCGTTTCACAAAATCCTTTTTTTCCCCCTCTTTCAAGGAGAACTCTTAAACCAGAGCAAATTCAACTGAAGCATTAACCTGCCTTAAAAAGTAAATTTCTGGTTGTTTGGTATCCTGTGTTCATATCAGCATTTCACTAGAGAATTGAAACAGCTTGGTCCCTGCCCCCTCCTCCCCCCCACCATACTTAATTCTCTTTCTGCCCTCATTTCCTAGCTGGCTTTTTTTTCCCCTCCAAGCTCTCAAAACACATCAGCTTTCATCTTTATCAGTATGACACTGACATGATAGGAAATGCTGGGCTGGTGATTCAGCAGCCATCCATTTTACAACCAGGCACAGTGAAGATATGGAAAGGACTTTGGTTTGGGGTTTTAAGATTAACTTGTTCACCTCCTCCACTCCACTCCCACCCTTCAGATGATTTGGACTCTGCAGAGCTTTTCCTTTGAAATGTGCACATTGCTTGTGAAAGGTATGCTGAATTAGGTATTTATAAGATTTACATTTGGTAAAACAGGTATTCCTTGGGGTATTCATTCAAACTTACCCCATGAGAATGCTTGTCTGTTAGGAGTTTACAGTGAAGGTGGAGATGCAGATGGGAGGAGAGGAAGTCAGCTCAGGCCCACTTGGGCCTTCTCTGCAGAGGAATTCATTACCAAACAGTCTGGATGAAGCCTTGTCCCTGCCAAGGTTGGTGCTGCAAATGTAAGCATTGGCTGGGTGAATTAAATGATGGCATTACTCTGCATTTTTCTCCAGTGTGCATTTGCATAAATTCCTCAATACTGTTTTACATTTTGTGTTTAATAGCAAAATATTGTTCCATCAGATGATATTGCAGAAGTATTTTGAACAAGTTTGCTAAGCCTTGTGTGAGTACAGCTTCTGTGTTTAAATAGTTGTCCCTCATCCCCACCATCATCAAACAAATTTTAGTTCAGCTGATATTGAGTCTTGGATATGTGGTAGACACTGTGGACAAGGCAATGATGCATCAGATATAGGGCTACCAGCAAAGAGCTTCTGGTCTAGAAAGGAAAATAAAGTACATGCATAAGTAATTGTAATAGAAATGCTAAAAGCAAAGCAAATGAGGGACTATGATGGGTGGACAAATGGATATGTTTCTTCTGGTTGAAGAATTAGGGAGATACATTTCATTACTGAGCCGTGAACTGTTCTTTAAATCTCTTCTTGTAAATCTTAGACTGTTCTGACATACTTAGCAAGAATTTCTACAGGCCCATTACATCAGGGACCAAAGCCTTATACCTCCTGAAGGGAAATTTGTACATTCCATCCAGCTTAACTATTGAAGAGGCTGACATGCTTTCTTTGGAGTCCCCAGTCAAGCAAAAGCCACCACATAGGTTTGAATTTCTGCCTTATAATGTAAAATGGTTCTTGATGTGATATGTGTGCAAAGACCTTTGATCCTTTTGTCTCCTTTCCATAAGCTGAAATGTCTAAGCTGCTCCAAGCTCCTTTCTGTGTTTTGTTTTATAAATCCTTTCCCATTGCACATCAACTCTTGTCATTTATCTCTTTGTACTGTCACTCTATCTGTCCCTTCCCATCCACACTGCCTTTAGCCACTCATCATTTTGTGCCTAAACCACAGAAACCTGTGAATGTGATGGATGTTTCCCACCAGGTTGTTATATTGCTTTATTGGCACACCCTGACCATAATCATCTGATAGTTTAAGGGCTCACCTTTCGAAACTCAGAAAGCAGATAATAAAAATGTTAAGAGTGTCTCAAGTACTAATGTCTGTTTCCTGTTCAATACAGAGAACAAGTCATACAATGGTGGAGGAATAGGTTCTTCAAATAGGATCATGGACTTCTTGGAGGAGCCAATCCCTGGTGTAGGGACCTATGATGACTTCAATACAATTGATTGGGTGAGAGAGAAATCTCGAGACCGGGATAGGCACCGAGAGGTAAGAGAAAAGATGGTACATGCGTTAAGTGTTAGAGGAAACACCAGGGGAAGAAGTTTAGGATCTGTATTCTTTCTATTCTTTCATTTCTTCAGCCCTGGATGTGGCTGAATCTGGTTTATATTGGCAATGTAGGGTTTCATTTTTTATTTTTATTTTTAAAGACATCTTGTATATGATTTTTATCCTAACTTTTTTTTTTCTAAAAAGTTATATTTAACGATGATTTATCTTCCTATAGTAAATAGTTGTAAAGGATCTTTAGAGCCCTGAGATGGGTATAAATGCCTTTTCAAAGAGGTGAAATCAAACTTGGGTGAGGGTGGCAAAATAAATACCAATGATCTTCCTCACCCATCTCATCTCCGTTTTATGGTTTTTCCCTTGAAGCAGGACTTTTAAAACTATGAAAAGTAAATGGGCTCCTTTTAAAAGAATAAAAGAAAAGATTCTCAGAGCCCTAGTCTTCACTGAAACTTACAAGGTAAACTTGTGATTATAGCTCTTGTACAACCATAAAACCAAAGTAAATTTATGCATTCAACTCCAGCAAAACCACAAGACCAATCAAATTAAAATTAAGGACATTCATTTAATGTGATAGGTAATAGATGGTACTTATGCCTAGGACACAGGTTCTTTTGAATTTGGCAAGAGAATTTCCTCACTTTTCTCTTTGTGGAGTACTTTGAAAACTTCTCAGAGTAGTCTGCCAAGGCCATTTGCCTTTAACATGTTGCTCTGTATCATTTGAATTAGGGAATCATGATTTCTAGTTTGTGTGTGAGCTGTAGGGAGAACTTGTTTAAAAGGCAGGTGCCCAGCCCCAGCGATTTTCAGTAGGTGGTCCTCTGGTGAGTCACTTCTTCAGCATACAATAGGGATAATTTTTTTTCTTTCTTACTATTTCTGCTTGAACTTCAAATTTAAAATTTGATTTTTAAGCTGACTCCATTCTCTCCTAAGTTTATGATTTCCTTCTCTCAGAGCTAAGCAAATCTCCCAAGCAATCAGGTGGAGATTGCTTTTCATTTTAAAGCCTTTCTCAGCTCCTGACTCATTTTCTCATGACCATCTGAACTCAGGAGTCAGGTCATCCTGGGTACATGTTTTGAGAAATTCCTTCTTAATCCTTGGATTGTGGTAATTCCACTGAGTTTTCTTATCACAACTCAAAAAGGTGATCTCTATAAAACATTTTATGTTTTTCATAAAATTTCTGCAATTTGGGAACACAAATTCTATTTATATCAATTCATCAGTCAGGCTTTAGAATTTAGAATCTTGCTGAATTTGGAGTTTCTGCTATCTGTAACTCAGAGATCAGTTTATCATCAGTTGCATAGTCAACATGTTATTAAAAAATGAGAGTCACCTATGATATAAAAAAGGCATATTTCCCATCATATTAATAGTTTCATCTGAGACAAATGATGCCAATGAATAATCTAAAACTAATTAAAGTAGGTTTATCAAATGGTCCAATGGGGCTTTTTTGTAGATTAACTTTATTATCAGAAGGGAAACAGTGTCACAAGGAAAAATGTAACCTCATTCATTTTCAGCGCTGAAATAGGAAATGTAAAGTCAAAGGTCAAAATTAATCTTAAAACTGTGTTTGAAATTTTTATAATTATTATTTGTGATGTTCCTGTAGAGGAAGGTGGGGTCGCTACATCACTGTTTCAGGATAAGAAATAGAGGTACAGAGAAGGGAGAAGGACCAATGACAAAGCTGTCAGAACAGGTTTTAAAAATGTGAGCACTGAAGGGTTAAATTGACAATGCTAGGACCTAAAAGGTAAAACTTCCTGTGCTTCTTGATAGCCTCAGATATTGCCAGCAGGGTTTTGAAAATGAAAAGAGGTGCATCACTCATATTACTTATGTATTAGTCTGTTTCTGTTGCTTATAGCAAAATACCTGAAACTAAGTAATGTATAAAACAATAGAATTTATTTCTTACAGTTTCAGAGGCTGGGAAGTCCAAAGTCCAGGGAACACATCTGGTGAGGGGCTTTTCTTGGTGGTAATTCTACAGCGATGCAGTGAAGTGATATGAGTCAGAGAGAGAGCTAACCTCCCCACTGGCTCTTCTTTCAAAAACCTCAGAACCATGCCCATGACCACTATTAAACCATCCATGGATTAATCCATTTACTAGGGCATGGTCCTCATAATCTAATCACCTCTTCAAGGCCCCACCTTTTAATTACCATAATAGGATTTCCCACCCTCTTAACACTTTCACGGTGGGGGTTAGTTTCTTATACATGGACTTTGGGAGACAGAATTCATTCCACAGCAATTTAGCAATTTAGTGATCAATGTAAAATTAGGGGTTTGTGGAATCAAGTCTTGGAATTTGCCTGACCTGAACCATAACCCCAGGCAGTAAACCTCAAATTGTACTTTTATCACTTAAATAAGCTCATGTTTTTTATTCTCCAAAAAAAAAAAAAAAAAATCAAACTATTTGCTGTGAATCAAGAGGTCATCCTTGGAATATCTAATGTCCAGTACAGAAAGAGACCACTACAATATACAAACAGGTTGATGCCATAAGAAATTAGCAGCTGAACAGGGAAGCCCTAAATAAGGTACTTGTGAGCACTGCAATACTGTAGATGAAGGTGTGGTTCAGTACCTCAAAGTTCTTAGTGAAATTGGCTCAGCTAAAGATTATGTGAGAAGCAACTCTAAATTGGTCTCTATTCCCAGGTGATTTGTCCTTGTGTTTCTTTATTGAGCAATTTTGAGGTGAAAAAAGGAAGGATGTGTATAGAGTCACTAACGTTTTCTCATTTTTCCCTAGATTACCAATAAAAGCAAAGAGTCAACATGGGCCTTAATTCACAGTGTGAGTGATGCTTTTTCTGGCTGGTTGTTGATGCTCCTTATTGGGCTTTTATCAGGTATGGCTAACTGTTATTTTTCAAAACAAATCTCCTAAAATTGTGGGGTGCTCTTCCACCAGGTCATGAACTGAGTTGAGTGCTGTGTTTTCCAACTTTCCTGCCTAAAATAAATTGCTGGTGAACCTTTGGGAAGCTCAATGTTTTTACATCTGTAAGGGGTACTAATACCTGCATCACCTTCCTTTAATAAAGGAGGAAATGCATTTAAACGCATTTTGTACACTATAAGATATCATATCCATTTTAAGGTGATGTTAGTACTGCATTTCAGTGCTTATCTTGAGGAAGAACCCTTCTGTTGGAGACAGTTTTTAAACACATACTGCATGGGGTTTATGGGAGAAGATGCGGAAGAGAACTTCCCGAGACATTGTGTAAGTGTGTCTCAAACATGTGCTCTCTCATTGGTACAGAAAGGTATGTATGATATGGCTCATACTCTCAAGGAGCTTACATTCTCATTCTTTTATGGTGGCTGAGGGGTGAGATGGTACCAGCTTTTCCTATAAATGCCATCAGCCTCCCCTGACATTTCAAATAGCATACAAGCTAAGAATAGTGTACTTGCTGTGCAAATACAGCTTTAAAGCAGGTTCCCAAGCAGGCTTCCCCTCCCATGGGGAAAACAGAGAGTCAAGAATACCAGGCAGAGATGCTGAGAGGTGTGTCCTTATGGCATTCAAAGATGGGGCCAAGGACAACCTGGAAACTTGAGCTGAAATAGCAGTTAGCTAGGAAACTTGGAGGTGGATGGTATAAAATGGTAGTTAACAGCACAGACTCCAGTTTTAGACTGCCTGGATTTGAATTCCAGCCTCACTCCTTGCTAGTTTTATGGCTTTTGGCAACTTACTTAAGCCCTGGAAGCTTTAGTTTACTGATGTGTAAAATGGGGATAATTAAAGTACCTATATTAGAAGTTTGCTGAGAGTACTAACTGAAATATAGCACATATAGCACTTAGCACAGTGCCTAGTTGTTAATGATGCTGCTGCTCTTACCTAGACATAATAATTAATGAGCCATAGAATAGAAAATGACTGCAGCAAATGAGGAATGGCTCCTCCATAGCCGAGTTTTCAGAAATTGTCTAGGGAAGGAATTGGCAAACTTTTTCTGTAAAGTGGCCAGGTAGTCGATATTTTAGACTTGTGGGCCAAATGATCTCTGTAGCACCTACTCCACTCTGCTGATGCATCAGAAAAGCAGCCATGGACCATGGGTAGACAAAGCCTGGCTGTGACCAGGAAAACTTTATTTACAAATGTAGGGGATCCTTGGGCCATAATTTGCCAACTTGTGGCCTAAGGTGTTAACTCTGCCCCTTCTGGCTCTTAGAAGAAATAGAAAATGGTCTGGCCAGTTTGGAGCTGGGTCATAATAGACTGGATGGTCTGTAATGCCAAGTATTGCAGAGAGGCTGAGGAGAAGGAAGATGGCTGAGAAAAGGTTATGCATTCTAGCAGTTGGGAGTATACCAATGACCTTGAAAAACCAACTCAGGTAAATATTAGGAGACAGATTTCAAGGGAAGGCACCCAGTGTATAAGTTTTAGTAGTCATTAGAAAGAGAGGGGAGACAAAAGCATTTTATTCTTTAGGGTAAGGGAACCCTAATAAAATTTGTAACCAGAGAAGAAAGAACCATTGGGAGAAGGAGGAGGAGAACTAGACAGGCTTGAGGGAACCAGTGTTGGGTAAAGTAAGACATGCATACGTGAAGCAACCAGAGAACAAGCTAAACTGTATAACATCATGTTAATTTTTCTGAATCCAGGCAGTAAGTGCAACAAGACTTAGAAGGCAGAGACGGCTGGGAGCTGGAGTGGCCAAGAGTAGGTGTCAAACAATGTGTTAGATTTGACTAGGTTATTCAAGTATGTAAGTAATCCGTGTTAACACTTTTAGCACCTACCTAAACATACACATGACATGGCTTCCCGCCTGTTGGAATGTAGGCATAGTATCGTCACCTTTTTAATGTATTTCTTGTCACTAGGTGGTCAGTGAATATTTTTCTAACCCTCATACACACAGGGTATTTTGTTCTTAAGCGTTAGAGAGCAACAATAGAAGCAATGTGTCTGAATGTTAGAGTAGTCTGGGACAGAGGCTATGAATTTTATGATGTCTTTACTATTTCCCTATTTTCTGGGCCATTTAATTTCTGTATGCCAGAGTTTCTTCATCTGGATGACAGAAAGGATGAGAAGGCCAGAATCTAAAGTACTGTAACTATCTTAACCCTATCAGTCTGCTCACTTTAGTGCATAAGTCCCCAGTTCACTATTTATTTCCCATAATTTTCATTGGTGAATGTTCTTTGTATAACACTGCTTGCTCCTTCTCACTAAGAAAACTTCAGAATGTTCATGTCTTAGGTTCAGGAGGCTTCAACATGTCTACATCACAGTTTGTGCTTCGATAAATTCAATTCCCATAGCCTACAGTACCTTCCTGCCATTGCTCAAATTCCCTTGTCCATGGAACAAAATCCTGCTATCAAGGCTTAGCCCTTCTCCCCATAATCTTTGTCAGCTCTCCTCCCCAAGCCATCTCAAATAAAAGTCATAGAATATTCCTCAATGTGGGCAATTTTCATTTTCTCAATCTTGTGTATATAGCGGGAATAAGATAATCTTTAATAAACTTGACTGTCTTTATGGATCAGCATTCATAAACTCTAAGTCAAAGCAGTGTCTTTGCTATTGTAAATTCAACTTAAATACAACTCCACTAGCCCCTTGCTTTCACCCAACCATTTTGCTTTCCCCTAAGTCCCTCCTATAAAGAAATCCTACAGACACTAGTGTTTAATGACAAATAATAAGCGAGAATCAAGCCAATACACAATCAGAAAGAGGTTGCACATGAACAGGAAAGTATGTGTTTGTCTGTTATTTTGATTCCTTTTCATTCATTTTCTCTGACAAAGCTTATTCTGATTACCGAAGAACAGACTTTCAGAGACTGAATTTAACTTTGGCCTTTCTCTCCCTCTCTCCAAATCAGGTTCCTTAGCTGGTTTGATAGACATCTCTGCTCATTGGATGACGGACTTAAAAGAAGGTATATGCACAGGAGGATTCTGGTTTAACCATGAACATTGTTGCTGGAACTCTGATCATGTCACCTTTGAAGACAGAGACAAATGCCCAGAGTGGAATAGTTGGTCACAGCTTATCATCAGCACTGATGAGGTAACATGAAGTGATGATTTCTGAGCCACTGAATTTTGTTATTACGTTTATTTCATTTCTGTACTGTACTCCTGGCAACTGTGGAATCTTCCACTATTTTCCTTTTCATGAAAAGGGGAACCAGTGCCAGCTGCCTTTCTCTATGGTTAAGTGCAGCCCTATTTGCATCTCTTCTGCCATGTGGAGTCATTTGATACTTATAGTTAAATTTTTTGTTTGTTTTAAATAACCTCAGTGTTTGTTCTCAGTTGTTAGTACACAGCGTGACTGAATTTATCTTTCCCTAATAATTTCAGGAGAAATGTCAGAGGCAGCCAATAGGTAAGGTGCAGTTTCTAACAAAGAATGTGTTTATCGTATAGACACCAAGAGAGATTTTACCTTGAGCATTGCATTAGAACATTGGAAAAGTGATGATACATTCCACATCAAAATAACAGAAACCCTGGAATAAAATTGTCCGTTATCCTGTCTTCTGATCAAATCAATATTTTCATTTGTCCTTGTCTTCTAGCTTGTTTTTTAAAATGTTTATTTGTATATATTTGTGGGGTACAGTGTGTTGTTTCAATACATGCTTATACTATACGTTGATTCACATAGGGTAAATAGCATAACTTTGTACCCATTAATCCACCACTTTCCCTCCCCTCTTGGCCTCTGGTAACAATTATTCTATTCTCTTCTGTGAGAAACATTTTTTTTTTTTTTTAGATTCAACATATGATTGAGATCATGTCATATGTTTCTTGATGCAAAAGTAGCTTTGTTTTTCAGTTCCCTACCTTTCTCTTACTGCTCAGTTATATATTAGATCTCTCCTGTTGAAAACAAAAGCATACAAAACAAAAAACTCAACTCCCAATTCTACTGTGATGTCCACCAACTAAAACAGGTGTCACCTTAGCTCACTACTTATCCACTCTGTTGGTGAAGTGAGGGAGATAAGACTAGGATATATGTTTGTACTTTTATCTCTCTCTCTCTCTCTCTCTGTCTCTCTCTCTCTCTGTCTCTCTCTCTCTCTTTGGCAGCTGGTTGGTGTGGAAATCTGAACCTTTCATCTTGGAGTTATAACACCGTGTTATAACCAACTGAGCTAACCGGCCAGCCAATTTGTACTTCTAAAATTTATTTTTACTACCCACCTTGGTCCACAAACAATTTGAGGTGTCATGTACACATATATACACAATCAATCATGGGAAAAGAAGGATAGGAAAATAATAAAGTCAGAAATGGGAGTGCTTATGTATATACATGACTGTGCATATTGGCTTGGGGAAAGGATTCAATAAAAGGGGTAGAAATATGCTGTATGTTTGAGAGGGTTTAGGTCTATGCTTCTCAAACTGGGGTAAGGTCAGAGTGTAGGTGAAACTACAGGGTAAATGTTATGTGCCTTCCCAGAGCATCAGTTTTTGAATATATGGAGTAAATATTTTTTTCAAAAATTAAATGTAAACAATCCTTAAAAAATGGAATGCAAAATTCCATGTTTGTTAAGAAAAAACAAGATCTCTGTTGCAGCTCGGCTCCTGGGTACTCCATCCCTTACCTCGGTATCTCTATTACTCTCCTAGATTAGGAAGACTTGAGTAGAAAAGTTTGAGAGGCCCTGAAACTTAGGGTGTGAGGGTGTGTGTGTGTGTGTGTGTGTGTGTGTGTGTGTGTGTGTGTGTGTGTGTGTGTGCCTTGCTTTTTTGGGAGACTTTTATTTTTAAAATAATCACAGATTCATAGGAAGTTGAGAAATAATATATAAGGAGGTCCCCTGTCTCCTTCACCCAACCTCCCTCAATGGTAACATCTTGCATAACTATAGTACAATAGCAAAACTAGGAAACTGACATAGGTACAATCCATAGTCTTTATTTCACTGATTTTACACACACTGATTTGTGTGTGTGTGGTTCTCTGCAATTTTATCCTATGTGTAGATTTGCATAACCACCACCACAATCAAGATTTAGAACTGTTCTATCACTACAAGGCTCCCTCACGCTACCCCTTTACAGCTCTGTGTGTGTGTAAGTGTTCCAACAGTTACTTTCCAACTGGAGATTGAGATTTGCTTGAGTGACAAATTTTTCTGGCTCTCCTTTTTATGAATGAAATCCTTGCCGGGGGAAAGAGTTTTCTAGGTTTTAAGAAGCCTTTTTCTGCCAAGAATTTGGCCTCCTGGTCTCTGCCTCTGGCCAGTTTCAACTACTTTCCCTCCCTTTCCCTCTGTTTCCTGCCTCTAGGGTCTTCCTCCTCCCTAGCTACATTTGAAAGGCAAAGTAGTAGCAATCATGTGTTCCTCTGAGGCACTAAGATAATGGAAAACCTGTGTCAAACTCACCACTCAGAAAAAACCTGAGCATTATGGTTTTCCTTGTCTAGGTCAATGAATTATTGTAATAGTGTTTTACGTTTCGAACGTCAAAAATCCTTTGAGTTTTCTATTTTATGTAATTCGAGTGAGTTTCAACTCCTAATATTTCTACCAGCAAGCATACCTCCTAACATTCAAAATTGCTTTTTTCTAAGGCTTTGACTATTTGTGAGCCCTTTAATGTTGGCGAATTGTTACTGGTGGTCACAACTAGATTTCTTTTGTGGCCCACTTTGTTATCATTGGGGGAATAATCTCAATAGTATATTCTTTCCATTTTAAAAATAGCTATTGTCATTTTACTCTTTGGAATATCTGGCATTGACAGGGCCCGAAACTTCTACTCTTGTACTTGTTGCTGAGTTTGTGGTAGCAAAATTCTCTCAAGGATGTAGTCATTATATGCAGAATCTAAAAAAATAAAGTTGAATAAATAGAAACAGAGAGTAGAACAGTGGTTACTAGGGGCAGGAAGGAGGAGGAAATGGAGAGAAGTAGGCCAGAGGGTACAGATGTACAGTTAGGTAGGATGAGTAAGTCTAGAGATCTAATGTTCCTTGTCTTTGTCCATCCTTAGAATCTCTTGTACATTTCCTTTGGGCGTAGCAAAGCATCTCATTTTCAGCACCAAGTGGCCTGGCGGTGTTTCAGTAGTTGCTTTGCTGACAATCTGGAAAGAAATATATTGAGCAATTTAATGTTGGTCTTTTTCTCTTTGACCTTCTCTCCTGAAAAACCATTACTAAGAAGAGCTGCATGCCTTACTGAGGCTATCTAGGCTAAAACAAGCTTCTTTTTTCTCCCCTGTTCCAGGGAGCCTTTGCCTACATAGTCAATTATTTCATGTACGTCCTCTGGGCTCTCCTATTTGCCTTCCTTGCTGTATCTCTTGTCAAGGTGTTTGCACCTTATGCCTGTGGCTCTGGAATCCCTGAGGTGAGTCTCTTAAAATGGTTTCTAAGTTGTTATAATATGAATCCTTTTTGGTTACATTTTTTAAATACATATTTCACCATATACCACAATTTGGTGAGTATTAAACAGGATCAGATTCTGAGGCCATCTAAAGCCTCTCTAGATCTTCCCTTAAATTTTCTGTAAGCTTGGGCCACCTGGAAATTAAAAGGAGTTGATTCTGAGCCTCCTGAGGGTTCCTGTTGAACCAGGCTCCTGAAGACCTCCCCAACTCCCTACCCAAGAAATTCCCAGAGTAAATACCAAGATTCTGACCTGAAAAGTAGTAGTATTGTCAGCTTTTTTAGAGCAGAAGAAATAAAACCATTTTGCTACATTTCCCACAGTATGACTTAGGCTAGAAAGGGGTTGGTTAAAACCCTATTTCTGACTACTTTTCATTTAAATTGCTTGATAGTGACTGAAACCACTGAGATTTTAGGTTACCAGGATTACCTTGCTCCCCTCTGTTTCCTGACCAAGTAATAGTCACAAATTTCTTTAGCAGGGAACCAGGACTACATCTAACCTTTAAGATTGTTTCAGGGACATTAACCTCCCACTCCCAGAACATGCCTCTTGGGCCACCATTTTGTAAAGTAAAGAAAACACCTGTTCCTCCCTGTTCACCTCCCCTTTTTCCATGTACACACACTCTCATTCTTACAGTACACCCTTGCACAGTTATCACATGACCCCCCCTAATAAAAAGGAACATGAAAACTTGAAGAACAGTTCTTGCTTTTTTTAGCTACTGGGCTCCCCCACAAATTGGGATCACTGTAGGTCAAGCATTTCTATGTCACTTGTTCAGAAGGTGCTCTTTCTATAATGAGGTTAAGAATTTTGCTTTTTAGCCTTGTTTACTTCCTTAGTCTATGTTCAATCTCTCTGTGTTTGACCTACAGATAAAAACTATCTTGAGTGGTTTCATTATTAGGGGCTATTTGGGTAAGTGGACCCTGGTTATCAAAACCATCACCTTGGTGCTGGCAGTGTCATCAGGCTTGAGCCTGGGCAAAGAGGGCCCCCTAGTGCATGTGGCTTGCTGCTGTGGGAACATCTTGTGCCATTGCTTCAACAAATACAGGAAGAATGAAGCCAAGCGCCGAGAGGTAATAACAAATAGCTTTAATAGTCTCTTTTTGGATGACAGCGTAAATGGGACAATATTAGGAGCGAGAATTCGGGGATTCTACCAGTGTTAATGCAGGTACCCTTTGACCCAGCAATTTCACTTCTAGGATATCCTACAAACATCCTAGCATGTGTGTGCACAAAGGTGTATGGAGATAGTGCAGTATTTGTCAACATAGGGGAAAACTGAAGCAACCAAAATGTCTTCTGTCCATACTATAGAATACTATAAATGGGGTGCTCCAGTCAAAAGCTGGGCACGTTGTGTCTGTCTGCTGGACTGAGGCAAGTCTCCTGGGTGCTGAACAGCAGCTAGAACATTTGTCCCCATGATGAGTTCTCAGTGTCTCCATGAAGCAACCAAATTGTCTTCTGTCCATACTATAGAATACTATGCAGCTTTTAAAAAGAATGAGATAGCCCTATATATATATTGACATGGAATGTTGGCTATAAAACACTGTTAAGTTAAAAAAAGCCAGTTTCTGAATAATGTATATAGTATAAGCCAATTAATATTTTTTAAAAGTATGTACATATATGCTTAGACAAAGTCTGGAAAGCAGTTTTACCCCAAACTGTTGAAAATGTCTGCATCTGGTGAGTGGGAGAGTGAGGTGGTAGTGAAGGAGAAGTAAGTACTCTAACTTTGTATTGTATGTAATTCTATACAAATATGTGTTGCTTCTATTACAAAACAAGTTATAAAAATAGTAGATTTTTAAAGAAGTCATTTATTCCTGTGTGAGTAAATATAAATGCAGCCAGCTTTTTCATCTGTTATTTATACTCAGCACCACACTTAAATTAGTTTTGCTTTGAATTGGACCTCTCTCTACCTTCTGCCTCAACCCAGCTAAATTAGTCCCACCACAGCATCTCTGTAGTTGTTCTTATAATTATGCAGTTGCTAATGTATGCTATTTTGAGGAGGAGGAATATTTTTTTAAAAATGTTCAAAGTCATTGGTTACTTTTGTCCTGCTATAATTAAGGATCTAAGAAAATAATGATCTTGCTTTATTTTCTTTGAATTACAAAGTAATCACATATGGAATGGGTCAAGACCAAGGTCATTTCATTAAAATAATTTTTCACAAAACTGGAACCTAGTGATTTCTTCTGAAAACAGAGAAGATTAAACCACAAGACCCAGAAGGACATTCAGAGATGCTGAGATTTCAAATATGGCATAAATTTTGAAAGTTCCTGGCATGGTTAAAAAGAAAAGGAAAGCTAGCAAGAGGGAGAGAGGGAAATCTGAGTAGGTTGTTTAGCTACGTGGCATGTGGTAGAGGGAGGTAAAGGCAGTGTTAAATTGAAGTTCTTGTTAAATTGGTGAAATAATGTATAACAGAAGCTAGAGTTGACTAAACATTTTAATGGGCCAGAGTGAAGTGTTGATTGTTGCTGGTTTTGCATGGGTGGAGGTGAATTTGAAACTGCAGATTGCTGGTTGCTTTCATTCCATCAGATTGGCATTTTTGTTCAAACAGTTCATTAAAAAATGAGAGGGGAATTTGATTTGGTTGTTTGTCTGTATAGACGCCAAATAGTTCTCTGACTAAACATACAAATATTGGAATCTTAAATTTACTTCTTATTGCTTATTGAGACTTTCCACTTATTTTTTCCTGTTATTCTCACCATCAGTGGCAACCCTTTCGTGTCCAGTGGCCTTGTCAAAGTGGGCAGATGGTTGAAAGTGAGAGATTTGAGAAGGAAGGCTGTAGACAGTCTCTGAGACATACAATTAAAGCAACCTAGTCAACCTGACTCTTTCTTCTCCTTCCTAATTCATTCTAAACATAGTCACCGAAATTCCCTTTCTCATGTTGCATGTTGGCTGTCCTCATCCTTTCTTGAATGAAAGCCATTCTGGCTATGAATTTTGAAGTCCTCGCTGTTAGCACCAGAGATCTCTCTCTTTTCTCCCTTCATTTTCCTGGATCAGCCTACACTCCCAGAGAAATTTGCCTACTTATTTTACCAAGAAATATTTTATTCTTCAAAACTCTTAATTTTGTTCAACTTTCTCTTTAAAGTATTTTCTTTCCCACATCATCTACCTCTGTCCAGCAGCCAGAATCCAGTGGAAGGACTGGTACTTCTATTAATTTCAGTTTATTTGCCATCACCAGCATTTGTTATGTACGTTTTCCATGCGCACACATGCCTATGCACAGAGGTAGCACTCTCTAAATATCACTTGTTCTCTTTCCTGATCTCTGTCTCTCTTTCCTGCTGACCACTTTTTCCATTCCCTCTCCCTCCTAGCCTCTTTCCTTGCCACACGTAAACGTATTTAGGTCTTCTCTTCCCTTAAAAATCTAGTTGCTTGCCTATTTCTGTTTCCATACTGGGCATGGAGTAGAACACGTAGTACAGGAAACTCTAAATACTTTTTGTATGAATACTCACAGCTCCTGAAAACTGTGAGCCAATTGTCACTTCAGTTTTGTAGCGTAGAGCCTTCTTTAACATTTCATTTAAAATGCATTTCTTTACAAAGTGCTATGTAAATACATTACTGTAAGAACTTCATTTCAGTGGTGAATAAAAATAGGTCTACAAACTCAAATTCCGTTATTGATTTGGGAATATTGGGGGTGGGTGGTATAATTTAGAGTAAAAGCACATGCCTAAATTAATTGCAAAAGAAAGGCCTTCTTACCTGTTCAAGCAGATGAACCATGTGTGGTGTGTTCAGAATTCAGCTTACAGTGATTGCTCTCAGTGTAAACAGAAATTGAACTTCATTTTTGATGATATGGAGCACGTAAAAGTATTTTTCTTAATGTTTAAAAATGTGATCGAACATGGGAAAGCAGCATTATTCTATGGCTAATTTTGAGTTTTGGATTGTAGGTCTTGTCGGCTGCAGCAGCAGCTGGTGTATCTGTTGCCTTTGGGGCACCTATTGGTGGAGTACTATTCAGCCTGGAAGAGGTAATGGCTTTTAATGGTCTGTAGAGCATGTGTGTGCTTTTGTGTCAGGAATTTTGGCCAATATCTGTGTACATTGCAGTCCCTGAGTGTTCTGCCCAACTTTACCATGTAACTAGAAATCCTTGGGCAGTTTTCATCCTCAACACTAATGCCTAAAGCACCAACTTTTCACCTGAAGCAGTTTCTGCATATCAACTAAGTTCACTTCCTCACTTTCTCTCTCATAGGTCAGCTACTATTTCCCCCTCAAAACGTTGTGGCGTTCATTCTTTGCTGCCTTGGTGGCAGCATTTACTCTCCGCTCCATCAATCCATTTGGGAACAGTCGCCTGGTTCTGTTTTATGTGGAGTTTCACACTCCCTGGCATCTCTTTGAGCTTGTGCCATTCATTCTGCTGGGCATATTTGGTGGTCTGTGGGGAGCTCTGTTTATCCGCACAAACATTGCCTGGTGTCGGAAACGTAAGACAACCCAGTTGGGCAAGTATCCTGTCATAGAGGTACTCGTCGTGACAGCCATCACTGCCATCCTGGCTTTCCCCAATGAATACACCCGCATGAGCACAAGTGAGCTCATTTCAGAGCTGTTCAATGACTGTGGACTTCTGGATTCCTCCAAGCTCTGCGATTATAAGAACCGCTTCAATACAAGCAAGGGGGGTGAACTGCCTGACAGACCGGCTGGCGTGGGAGTCTACAGTGCAATGTGGCAGCTGGCTTTGACTCTCATACTGAAAATCGTCATTACTATATTCACCTTTGGCATGAAGGTGAGGAGTTGTTTTGGTACTCAGTGGCTGTGTGTGTGGCTGTGGGTTTTGGAGGGCAAAGACAAGGTATCATGCAATCCTGATAGTTCATGTGCACTTTCAACTTCCCCCCAACATTATTCCGCCACTCCCAAATGCCTCTTTTACCTCCACATGTTCTCATAACTACCCAGAAAATTGTACCTCTCCCTGAAATTGTCCAAGCCTAGTGTTAGGCCAAATGCAAACCTCGGTGATGAAATTTTAGGAAGAAATGTTTTCTCCTTTTCTGGACAAAATGTATTTGCCCCACAAAAAGGATGGTGAGGTATTTATTCCAGTACATTTTGTATTAAAACAATATCTGACCAATGGTCTTAGTCCTTATAGGATGGCTTTAGAGTTTACCATAAAGCACAATTATTAGGTTGAACCAAATGAATATTACAGTATTCAATTGTTTTGACCACTAATATGGCAATTTTATGTAACTCAGCCCATAATATAGCTAAATGTATTTTTTACAGTTGGTGTCAATGCTCATTTATTAACAAGTGGGAAACATTTCACAGGTGATCCTAAGTTAGTATTTAAACTAGCAAAAGCAGACATCAGGCCAGCATTTTTACTTTCAATACTTGTTATTATTTCCATGTTTCAGAAGAAACTGGAAAAGAAAATTTGTTAAGGTATTTTTCTCCTCCTTTCTAGGTTTTTGTTTATTTCTTTAGCACTGCACTATCAAGTTATTTCCCTCTGTTCTCTAGGGAGGGAAATGGAGATTCAAACTAGAAAATAAAGAGACAGCAACTCAGTTTAGGCAGTACTCTAATCTCTGTGGCTACATCATCTATCCCCTCAACACAGGGATAAGATGGAGACCTGAAAAGTTTTGCAGTGTTTCTTGAGTTAATTTTCACCTTGTGGCTTCATTCTCTCATTTAAGGGAATTTGTAGATAATCAGAACACCAGATTCAAATGCATTCCAGAATCAAACACAGGCTGTTTTTTTTTTTTTTTTTTTTTTTTTTTAATCTACTGTTTTGATTATCCTTATCATCATTTCCCTCTCTTAGTACAGAAAATTAAGAATTTACTATAGTATCCTAGGAGTCAAGAAAAAGAGTGGGGAGATAGATGAGCGTCCCTTCTTTGGTTAATCATGCAACCATAGTCACTATCTCATTAAAAAATTTAATTGTTTAGTCTTTACAGTGTTACAAAATAAACTGAAACCTCATGTGCCATCCTTTTTGTGTGAGCAGTGGGTTAAGATTCAATATATGAATATGGTTATGAGCATTCCATTTAAGTCCCATTGCCAATGTTTACTAAATCTTGACCTTGGGTGAGTTACTTAACCTCTGTGAACCTTACGTTTGCTGTCATTTGGGAATAATAAAGCTGACCTCCTAGGATTGTTATATAAAGAACTGATGAAATCTTGTATGTAGAGCATCCAGCATAGAACATGGTAGATAGTCAATAAAGGGTAGTTGTTATTGGTAAGAATTCAAAATTGGGGGAAATGTCTGCATATATGAGAAATTCCATCTATTTTCCTTTTTCTTTGGGAAAGGCCTAATTTCTGCCTCCAGTTCTGTGTTGGTCTGGAGAGTTCAGGCTCTTGCCTGATGGACCCCGAATCAGGGTAAGCTTCTTTGCAGTCATCTTTGCCTGCACGTCCCAAGGAACCTCTAGTCTCTGTAGTATTACACAAATCTTTACAGCCACTTGCTAGCATAGTGCATAGTTAAATTGTCATTGGCCTGTTTGCTTTGCAGAGGGTCAGTCCTCCAACCCTTACCATATGCCAAGCAGTTACATCATTTCTCACTGACCATCTCTTGCTTTCTCTTTGCAGATCCCTTCTGGCCTCTTTATCCCTAGTATGGCTGTTGGTGCTATTGCAGGTCGACTTTTAGGAGTAGGAATGGAACAACTGGCTTATTACCACCAAGACTGGACCATCTTCAATAGTTGGTGTAGTCAGGGAGCTGACTGCATCACCCCGGGCCTTTATGCGATGGTTGGGGCTGCAGCCTGCTTAGGTGAGTAGTGTTTGCATTGGTTTCAAAGAAGTGTCATAAAAAAAGAGTGATATTAAACACAGGATTCCAGAATTTTTTTAATGACCATTTCCTGTTGGGTTTGCCATTTTTCAAATGCTTTAAGAAAGCTAATTCTACTATCTCACACTGGGGAAAAAATCAGAAATTTGGACGATATCTGCACAAGAATGTGCATCAGAGTATTATCTATGAGAGCAAAAAATTAGAATCAACCTGAATTTGCACAGTAAGGGACTGGTTAAATAAATTATGGTACATCCATGTATGTTATACTATGTAGCCTTTAAATATGATGTTAATATGTTTTTTTTTTTTTTTTTTTTTTGTCTTTTGTCTTTTTTCCGTGTCCGGCAACGGATCGCAACCCTCAGTGTTGCCCCCGTACCGGACCGGGGACCGGCAACGGGATTGCAAACCTCGG